AAAAAACACAAAATCTATAAAGAACCCTTTTATTTTTCAAAAAACCTGTGCGACAGTTATTATTTTACGCGCTGTACTTTGCCATTCATATTGTGGCAAACACTACTTAGTAAGCAAAGTTAATTGTGATAGTGAAAAGGTGTAAGCATGGCCTTAGGGGCAGGGGACTAGGGTATAAAAATCAGAAAAATATTAAATTAATTATAAGGCTTAAATTAAAAAAATGGCCATACATTCATGAATAGTCTGGAATTCTTCTGTAGGGAAACTTTCCTATAAGGGCGGTCATTGAGAACCGAATTCTACGCAAAAATACAGTGGACGCAAGTGAAAATTTTTCCTAATAAACAATCGTGGTACAAATCTCAATAAAAATATTAAAAATAAAATGTTAATAAGCCACAATAACATTGAAAATTATGACTTTTGGCAATTTTTCTAAGGGGTCTCTGGGGACCCATAGGGGCCTTAGGTGGTCGGGAGTAACATTTTTGTCAATGGCGGTTCATGCCCTCTCCAAAAAGGTCGGAAAAGGTGCCACGCCACTCCCCCTTCGATCACCATCTCTTTAACAACCGTCCCTATTGGAAAGCCAACCCATATAGTTTATTTATTTTTCACATTTATTGTTGCTTTGAAAAAGATTTCTAAGATATCTTTGTTTGTTTGTACCCAATTAATGGTAATTTGTAACAATAAATTGCACAAAAAATTAAAAAAAAGAAATTGTACCCCTTTTTTATGTCATGTACTGCTTTTTTTCTATCGAAAATATAAGTGTACTCCTTTCTCCGTTTCAAAATCTGGCAACCCTAGCTTTGCGTGACATTTATAACTTTGCCAGCAAAGCGGCAGACGCAAAAGGTATGCCACATTGAACCCCAAGAAAACCATTTTATACTGCTTTTCTACTCGTCAAAATTGCTGTGGATTTTATATACATATATTGCTTTAAAAATATCAGCAATGCAATTAAGTTTTATATTTCTACATGAAAACTCGAATTTGGACAAAACAAAATAAATATTAAACCGGCTGATTGTCAAGGCGCACAAAAAGATGGGAGTTGGCCATCTTTTCGCTTCGCGCTGCATCTTCAACGATCTGTGTGGCATGCTTTGTGGATTTTCATACAATTCATCTTATCTGTCAAAGCGAATCTGTCACGCAAAGCGAAGCAAAAGTTTTATGTGGCATCAGCTTAACAACTTCAACACGAACTTTTATTTCTTTGCTCATTTCGAAACCAAAACTTATCAGATGGCCTTAAAACTTTGCATGATAATTTTTGTACATTTATGAGAGGTATCTTGATTTGAAAAAATAATAAAATTTTGTACTTGAAAAGTTTTACAAGTAAAAATGCGTGCACTAATTTCATCGTCCGCAAACCTTAATAACGATAAGTAATAAAAAAATACGTTACTGAATGGTATAAAAACGCATTCTATAGCCATTTATCTGTAAATACGTAAAATACATACATATACATATGGGGGTCTGGCCAGACCGATTTGGAACGAAATTGACAAAAAAAAATGTTCGCCTAACGGAGAGTTAGGAAAAAATTCCATGCATTGGGGCAAAAAGTCGATATATTCGATTCAAAGTTGTTCTTTTGACATCACAAACGGAATCCTTCAAGAATGCACCGCCTCATATTTTCCTTATATACTTTGTAAAAAAGAAAACCATACTTTATTGAACTAGTGAAATGTGATCCCGAAATGGTTTTTAAGATCAGCTATGCGAAAACGAATATGCTACATATGTCACCAAACATTCACAATTTCCCCGCTCTTCATAAAATTCATTGGCACTGCTTTTACCTTACAAATCTCTGACGTTTTCTGTTGCATACCTTGGCCGACCTTTGCTAAATGCTGGCCCTACCACACTGGAATGAAATCACTTACGTGGCTCTGGACAGACTACTATGAAGAGCTTTCGTTTTCATTTAGACATGCATGCGTATGTTCCGAATAGGGCATATAGTTTGAATTTATTTCACTTTTACTGAGTTAACTTACATAATTCAATTGAATTGAGTTTATTTTATTTTATTCTAATTTGTGTATCTTTTTTTTTTTTGTTGTTTAAATAAGTAGTTAATTAATACAGTTGTAAGCCATGCAATTATTAACTCAGAGTTTCTAACGATCTTTATCTTGAAGCCGTGCATATGCAATGATACAAGTTTTCTTAGCTAATTTTCAACCGGTATATCCACTTTAGACTAAAAACCTTTCAAATGTACACATATGAAATTACTAACGATGTATGTACTCGGAGATTAAATATGTGATAGGCTTTTAAAAGCGCATTATCACTTCATCAAATAACAAATGTGATGAGATGTCATCAGCTCTCAACACTCATTCAAAAAAGACCACAAAAACACGAACACTGCAAGGATTTGAACCATTAACCACTGCCTTATTAGTGAGCGTAAACCATATTTTACTGCAAATGTTCAAATATTTTCAGTCGTGGCATGTGTCAACACAAATTGAGCAACAACCCCAGTAATTTGAAGAGTTTATCCTCCTTTCGTGCTATTTGAGTCGATGTAAGGCACTTTCCAGTCTACATCTGGCTTAAAATATTCACAAGCATAAAACAAGTCAAAATAACATAGCATGCTTTGAGGCGTACTGGTGCCAAGTGTTCCATCTTCACCAACAAGGGACGCCTTTGTGTGTGTGCGTATGCCGCTGTCGTTTTACTTGCACGCTGCACCAATGGTACCACCCACCGACTGTTCGAGTCTACGAGGGTTGAAGTCATTATAAAACTATAAATTAATTATAACTGCGGGGCACAAAGCGGTCTTTGAGCGCATGCACAGGCATACATACATATGTATGTTCATATTCATTTACCACGATACCATAGATTTACCCCGCAGTGAAATTTAGAGACAGTCTGGCAAAGCGCTAGTTCCGCCCTACAAAATTTCAGAACTTTCTCTGAACTAGTACAAATCGGCTGCAGAGCGGGGCAGATGAAACTTGCCGCAGCGGCGCACTGATAAATCGGGTCCGTCTACAATATGCATTGCGTAATTAATACAAATAATTGATTAAAACACCGCTGACCCAATTTAGAAACGAATACGTATTGTAATGAACGCCCGAAGAGTATTCTGTCACCTCATACTTTCCGATTACAAACAATACGAGTATGTAAAAACGCTAACCACAAATCAGCCATGCTTATAGAAAAGTAATCTGAGTTGTAATCGATTCATTTCGATATACCGCCTTCGAAATGTTGAATGAGTATTCGATTACGTAATGTGCATTTGTGCCGCTGGGGCGGTATGACAGTTGCGCTGCCCTCAAAGTTTTTTACATTTAGCGCGTGAAAGCTGAGAAGTAAAGCCCAAAATACAATAGCGCAGTGGCAGTGACAGTATCTAAAATCAGCTGTTACTGCTAATATTAACTGCATTTTTTTGTAAGCGAGCGACAAAATAACGCTCAACTCGGGTAAAATTTCCTTTTAGCTACTTAAGCAACCCTGCTGGTAGCTGGCAAGAAACATGTGATTAGTTTAACGGGATTTAGACACAAAAAACAATAGAAATTAGTAATTATGCGAGGTATTTGCGTAATATATGTACTTGTTTAAAATATAAATCATGTATATACGAAAACAAAAATTTACCTCTACACTTCCTCATTAACAATTCACAATAGAGCAGTTTTTTCACTTAACAACACTACTCTTCAAGTCACGTATTTTTTAACCGACCTGGCTGAACACGGATAAATAGCCGAGTTTGTGTTGTTGCTTTGCGTGTATTTCGTCATTTACGCGAGTGTTCTTTTGTAGCTCGGTTGCAAAAGAATGGACCTATTGGCAGTCACTGCCGCAGCAAACACAATACGGCGTTGTCAGTGACTGCTTTTTTTGACATTTGTTTTTTAACGTTTTTGTTGTTGCCTTTTAGGCTTCAGTGACATCAACAGAAGTTGGCTGCGTTTCATTTGTGTCAAATTCAACATGCGAAGTTTGCTGCGATGAAGGCAGTGGCAGTGAAATTAGAATTTGGGCTAAACTGAGCAGTACTGCTAGCTGCCACTGCTGTATTGTGAGTCGCTTCATTGGACACCACACTTTCTAAAAAACAGCTGATTTCGAAAAACTACCGCCGCCACTGCCACTGCGTTATTGTATTTTGGGCTTAAATGAACAAATTCTCACTTCCCGTACAATACGAAAATAGCTCCGCGGAAAGACCTCCGACTCTAACATCGTTGGTCGCGAGTTCAAATCGCGATGGAGGCTGTTGTGATTTTCAGATTAAATACATTTTAATTGTTGTGTGCCGCTTAAAAATTTAAAGAAAATGATCAAAATTTATATAAATAAAATAAAACTAAAAATAAATAAAAATTAAGTTAAATGCAATCTGTACAAGAAAAGAAAAAAACGAAAAAGTATCCAAAAATCGAATAATCAAAATTTTTTCTCCTAAAAAACTTGTATTCCCAGATCTGTCCATCATGGAACCAGTTTAGAACGAGTTCAAAAGTTCTGCAGAGGGGGGCAAGTTTCACTTCGTAGGGCATCGCCATGTTAAAAAAAGACAGTCGAAAGCATTGATTTGGGATAGATGAAGAACCAGCACCGTCCCTTTTCAAGCTAGTTAGGCGCTAGTTCTGAACCAGTTTGATTTGCTGCAGGGTATATCTACACATACATATGTATGTATGTATAAGCTGCTAAATCGGATGTAAACAGACCGAATAGATTTGGAATGAATAAAATAATGGATGCACTTTACAGCGACACCCGTGCCAAATGCTGAGAGATTTAGGAGCGATGAATTGGAATAATCACTGACTAATCGCTAATCACGATTAGTAAAACAGAAAACGTCATGTACATATGTATGTTGTTTGTGTCTTTTTCCGAATGCTTCTACTGGTATAATTGTTTTTTTTTCCAATTTCGGAAACAGGGTATATTCTTTGAGAAGTTAGTTAACTTACTTGTATTCGCGCCTCGTTAAGCTTCGTCGTTCGTGCCAATTCCTCTCTGCAGTAAATATCCGGGTAATGTGACTTCGCAAAAGCGGCTTCCAACTCGGCTAGTTGCTCCTAAAAATAAAATAATACTGTCTCTTAATAGATAACTCAAGAGATTGCATTTAAAAAAAAATTTGTTTTCTTAGTTGGTTAATCCTTAAAATTTATGCTAAGCTAAAAAAGCTGCATTTTTTGTAAGCGAGCGACAAAAGAACGCTCAACTCGGGTAAAATTTCCTTTTACCTACTTAAGCAACCCTGCTGGTAGCTGGCAAGAAACATGTGATTAGATCAACGGGATTTAGACACAAAAAACAATAGAAATTAGTAATTATGCGAGGTATTTGCGTAATATATATACTTATTTAAAATATAAATCATGTATATACGAAAACAAAAATTTCCCTCTCTACTTTCTCATTAACAATTCACAATATAGCAGCTTTTTCACTTGACAACACTACTCTTCAGGTCGCGTATTTTTTAAAATACCTGGCTGAACCAGGATAAACCCAGTAGCGAAAATGATCACCGGTGACATCGTCACTAATGAGGATTTAGTGACATCGTCGCACTTGCACTCCTATCAAAGACTTATAACAGACAATGTCTTGCAGCAGTCACTTATAAAAAGTTGATTGCAGGATTCTGTCGCTTGAATGTCATTACTGATCACTGCATGACCAAGTCATGCAGATGACATCAACGACGAAATTACCATTTATATGAAAAAGTCATGAACGACTTCCATACAAATGGAGCCCAAAGTCATTTAAGACGTAACTTTTCCGTACAAGACTCTTAAGTGACTAATGCATGACATTCGCTACGGGGAATAGCCGAGTTTGTGTTGCTGCTTTGCGTGTATTTCGTCATTTAAGCGAGTGTTCTTTTGTAGCTCGGTTGCAAAAGAATGGACCTAATATTGAAAATTTGTACACGGGGTAATATAGGATCACTGAAAATAACTGTTCCATTTGGCAATATCTTAAAGGTTAGCTTAAAACCGTCGGAGCTTACAGTATTATGGCAATATTTAAAATAAATTTTATGCTTTTCATCTTCTCTACCCTGCAAAAAATTTAACTAATCCGAGTACAATAGAGCTGCAAAACTATCGATTGTACTATCGATAGTATCGATAGTTTCATTTTTGGAAAAACATCGATTGTTTTCGGGCTGCAGTCGATAGTTTCGATAGTGCCGGTGCACTGAAATTTCGTGATCTTTACTTAAATAAGTGACGCTGTGAATTTAACTAAGGAAAATAATTAGAAATTCACGTTTAAGATGTAATATTTATACTTACATATGTGCAATATTTTCATTTACATATGTACATAAATATGTATATATTATACACATTTTGTTCGGAGTTGAAGTTTCCGTACATATACAACACGATAGTATACGATACTATCGAAAATATCGATAGTATTTTTCAAACTATCGAATGGCGTCACTATCGATAGTTTTGCAGCTCTAGAGTACAATCGCAAAGGAACTGTTCGCTTTTTTTCCAACGTGTTCTATGAAGAGACAAAATGCCCTCCTTTATACCCAAACGAGTATAATAAGCGAGTAGTCGCTGTAAAAAAAATTAAAATTTGCGCCACCTGCGATCCAAATCGGTGCTCTCAGGTTTTCTAATCGAATACTCCCCCTATAAGCTCTATAAAAAATTTCGTTGACTAAAGGCTCAGTTAGTCTAGACTTAACTGACGTAAGAAATCGTCAATGATTACTCAAACCGTCAACTTAGCCCGAAGCGAAAATATTTTGTTTTTGTATTTTCCGCTGTAAGCAGCCGCGCTTCCACTCCGCAGGGTCTGGTCAAACCAACATCGAGAAAAATATAGAAAAAATGTTTTTCTTAACAGCGGTCGCCCCTCGACAGGCAATATATATATTTTTTAATTTCATCTGAACCACTGTATTAAACTGTCAATGTTTCTATCTACACAATAGATCTGTTTTCATATTTTCCAGTAAGGAACTATCCAGTAACTTGTCAGTAACCAAATTTCGGAGAGTATGCGAATATTTACTCCCAATATGAGAAACATGAGAAAGTACGAAAACGTAACACCATGATACAAATATTTAAAGGTAGTTTCACTTCTTCTTATTATCCGCCATTGCTCCCATTTGACGTAAACTGTGCTTTTGACGTTTTCTTTTAAATTAAAGCTACCACATTCTTTGAAGAAACTAAAAAGTGGTTTTTTACTTAAAAAAAATATTCCAAAATTATTTCAAGGAATATATTTTGAGCATCATTTTATAGCGAGATTTTAGTGGTTTATTTCTAAAATTAATTATAAAACGGAAGGCTAGTAAAATACTCCTATTATATTACACATGGATAATCTATTTGTTTATGCAATTATTTTCATCATTATTTAGTACGATTAGCTGCATATTTCGGGATGGCCACGTGCATTGGTGAAGTACCAAGGTGTTGTTTGCTTGTTCCAACAGCTTTTCGGGGGAAAATTTTCAGCCTAGGGACGGATGTGCCCAATCTAAGCGAAACGCTGCACCAGCAGCAGTAGAGCGAGTAGTTTATCTGTCTATGAACTATAACAAGGAGCTCTAAGAATTTGTACATTTTTTTACCTGCCTCTATGTTTATGCTTCCATAGTGCTTTCATTGACGATAAGCTACTTTTTAACTATTCCTTTGTTCATATGTCCTCTAAAAAGGATCCAAATTAAAGCAACATCCTAATATCTATAATAATATCTCATGGAACAAATTTTTTGCGGTAAGGTAATTTAAGGTATTTTAAATTAATACTCTCTTATTAACAGCTATGCTAATACGATGAATTAAGTAAACTTACCTTGCGTGTTGTTATTTTTTAATGCATAAAAAATTCCTTTAAAAATAATATAATTTCCAAAACAATAATTTGTTGAGGTGGCAGTGATACTCGAGCAATTTACGAAAAGTATAAACGTTATAAGCACAGTTTATGTAAAAAAATTTCAAAGTGAAACTACCTTCTTTTTTGTATCATGGGTAGAACCGCTGAGAGGCACTTTTAAAATTCTTGACGTTTCCAAGCAATTTAATTTTTAAGTTTAGTCACAAACTCACACACACATTTTCATTTTCAATCTCAAGCAACAACAATTTAAATTTTTTATTTTAAATTTTATATGATTTAAAAGTCCGGCAAACTTCAAAAAAAAAATCATGGCCGCCAAATTGAGAGAGCGTTTCTACCTTGCTATGTCTTTATCATTTTAAAAACCTACACACACATACCTTGTTTATACCGACACATAAAGCGGTTTGACCCAGTTCGCTGTGATTCAAAATGGAAGCATAAACCAACTTTCAATACGCTCAGAAATTCAAAAGTGTGTTGACTCGAATTTGTTTTCAAATCGCTTTTTTATTTCTCACATCGTTTAGAAAACAGGTATAAACACATCACTCATTTGAAGCGAAGTGAAAAAAGGCTGGTTTTCTTTATACAGCCCGTTTTAAATTCGAATTATTATTATAACAAATTTAAATTCTGGTTCGCTTTCATTTCGGTCCAAATTAATTATTAAGGAAATATCGAATAAAAATAACAAATTTTGTTTACTTTTGAATACGGTTTTATGCGAGTTCGCTATAACCACACAGGTATAAATGCTTGCAAGAAATATGTGTTGAGTCAAATCAGTTTTTTGTTAATACGGTTCTTGCGTTGGTATAAACAAGGTAACATTCTCATTTTCAATCTCAAACAACAATTGTGAACAATTTTATTTTTTTGTTTTCAATTTTATATGATTTTAAAATGCTTGCAAACGTCAGAAAAAAATAATGGCCGACGAAATGAGATAATAAATTTAGCGGTGTTAAATCGCACGATCTTGGAGGCCACGCCACAGGCCCACAACGCGAGATAATGCGCTCACCAAAAGTTTCCTTCAATAAATTGATTGTTTCGTTGGCTGTATGGCAAGTAGCTCCTTCTTGTTGGAACCAAAGGTCGTCCAAATTAAGATCCTCCAAATCAAGCACGAAAAAGTCATTAATCATGGCTCTATAGCGTTCCCAATTGACTATAACATTATGGCCGGCTTCATTTTTGAAGAAATATGGACCAATGATTCCCTCTGCCCATAGAGCACATTAAACAGTGACTTTTTGAGGATGTAACGGCGTCTCAACAATGGCTTGTGGATTATCATTACTCCAAATGCGATAATTTTGTTAACGTACCCATTCAACCAAAAGTGAGCTTCATCGCTGAATAAAATGTTCGTGTGAAAATCGGAATTGGTGGCCATCTCGTTTTGGGCCCACTCACCGAACGTGCGACGCACTTGATGGTCGTTCGGCTTCAATTCTTGCACGAGTTGGATTTTGTAAGCCCGCAAACCAAGATGATTCCGCAAAATCTTCCATAAAGTGGACCGGCACAGCTCCAACCATTCGGGTCTTCTTCGATTCGGGTCTTCTTCGATACTCTGCTCCACAGTATCAATATCGTCTTCGGTGCGCACTGTACCGCATCTCTGAGGATGCGCATTATCCACTAGAGTAAACGTGGTGCGAAACCGATCCATGCTTGCTCGAATTACCGACTCTGCTGGGCGATTATGTCGGCCGAATATTGGACGCAGCGCGCGATGCGTCGCTCGAACCGAACCAGTATTCTGGAAATAAATTTGCACGATTTGCAAACGTTGTTCCGGAGTAAGTCTGTTCATTATGAAATGGCACACCAAACTGAGTATAAATCAAGTAACAACTGTCGAAAAGACCAACTCCGAAAAGAGTATTGCCTCATTGAAAACCACACGTCTAAAAAAAAACTCCCTTTATATGGTAGCAACCCAAAATTAAAAAAAAGTGTCACGCCATGAAGTAGCATTCAAGTAGATAAACTGATCTCGCCTGTGTTAATAATAGGACGTTCGTTTAAAATCTCCAGTTCTCTCATAAGAGAAAAATATCCAGAATAGTACGCGCACAGAAAATTTGCAGAAACTTGCAAGTTAGACGAACAGCTGATAGAATTTTTGCTTACATTCAAAAGTGTAAAATTTAAAAAACTCATCACA